GCAGTAAATGTTAGCCTTTTGGGTTTCTCCCTAAAGCCCTGTTATCTACATCTCTCAGATTTATGTTTCTACCTGTACCTCTAGCTTAACTTTTCTTTATAACTTAAACTCATCTCACTCCAGGTTTCTCATCATGGTCAACCATCTCATTGCTTTCCCCTCAAGTGTTCTCCTTTGTGGTAAAGGCTTCTCTCTCCCCCATCATCCACAGTGGGCATTCTTTGAGATACATCTTGCTCCTATTTTTACATACAAGCGAGCACCACAACTCTTCCTTATATCTCTTTTCCAGCTGTCTGTCCAGATCGACTTAGGATCCTCTGACAGGGATTTTACCCAAGGCAGCTGAAGTCAGTAGTGTAAAAATCTCAGTTTTGGAATCAGGCTCCTGGCTGTGTGACTTTAGACCTGTTGCTTAATCTCCATGAGCTTCAGGAGCCTTTGTATGATGAAGATACTATTATTACTTCGAAGAATGATTGTGAGTCTTAAACGAAATACTACCTTTGGAGTTCTTGGCATAGTCTCTGGCCTGTAGTAGATGTTTAAACCTCCAGCTGTAACTGTGATTCTCCACCCTGTCTGGTCTTCATCTCCTGTGGCTGTTCAAGATGACTCAGCAGAACTGCTGTTTCTTACTCATGATTTTTTTTCTCTGGAAGGACTCAAATGACTTACGTTGGAAAGGAACTTAGAGGTTTTGAAACCATTCACCTCTACAAAAATCAAAGCTACCATTTATTAAGTGCCTGTCATGCATGACTCCTCATTTTTACAACCCTGTATAGTAGGTGTTGCTGGGGCTCTAAGACGCAAACACACGGCCCTGAGCCCTCCCAGCTGGGAGTGTTGTGACTGATATTTGAGCTCTGCCCATTCATTCCTGTTTCAAACTTCAGATCTTGTCTGTTTCAGACTTCAGATTTTTGTCTTTATAACATATTGCTTCCATAACCCCCTGTATTAAAGTAAATAAAATAAAGCAATTTCTTGACATATGTTCCTTAGTTGAACAGATACTTCCAAAGACTGGGAGAGAAACTGCTACTTTGCAAAGTAATCAGTCCAATTTATTGCTGAATATTTAGACAGGTTAAATACTTCTGTGCTTTGTGCTAAAACCTGATCCCTATATTTTCCCTCCATTGACTTATTTTTAAGAACTACAGAAAGTCAGTATAACATGTTTCTTTTCTTTTCTTTTTTTTTAAATCTGATGATAGTCCTTTAACCTTTAAATATTTGAATGTAACTTGGTTCTCCCATTGTTCTCACCTCTGCCACATGGGTGAGGAGTTTATCCATTCTGGTCCTCTTTGTTTTAGAAATGAACATTATCTTATGTATGTTCTATTCCATGCATAGCAAACATTCTCTGTCCCAGTTTTATCCCTCTGGGTTCAGATCTAGGAACCATTAGGGTCTCGGTAGCCCTAAGTCCACATTAGGTTGTTTTTACATAACTTCAAAGGTGCCAGTGGAGAGCTTGAAGTGACTGCCATGTGTATGGAGCCTGGATATTTGTTGCCAACGTCATTCATTCTCAAATTAAGTTTTTATGGAGTACCTACGAGCTAGCTCCCAGGGCCTCCTCCTTTGTCTTTCTCCTCCTCAGTCTTTGGGATTGTGAGAAAGTGAGTCAGCGGTGAGCAAGGCCAGCAGAAGCCTTTTAGATCTGGTTTCTGCCCTCCATGGTGTCTGCTATTGTTGGGCAGACAATGCTGGCACTCTGAGCGCATAGTTTTGCCTTAATAAAAAGTATCAAGAATTTTATTGTTTTCTCATGAAAATAGGCAACAGAAAAATCTAGAGCGTTGAGAATAATTTAAAAGCAAATTTAATTTTATCTGTTCATAGCTATTAAGATTTCTAAGTGTCAACTTCGTGATCGGATTCCTGCCAGCAGCATTACCGGACTCCCCATGAAGTAGAGTGCAGCATTAGGAGCATTGTCCGAGGGGAGGAACTGCCTGGGTTTGAATTCCAGCTTTGCTGCTTCCTGTCAGGGAGGACATATTTTCAACTGCTACAATGAGGTGAATAATGGCATCTACCTGGTAGGGTTGCTATGGGCACTGAGTGAGTTTATTACTATAAAGTGCTTGAGAACAGTGTCCGGCACATAATATATGCTCACTAAATGCTGTATCGTGGTGGTAGTTGTTCTTCGGAAGGCACCCACATCTGTAGTACGCTTTTTTAAGTCTATGGAAACCCCTAAATGTTTTTACTCTGGCCTATTATGTAGAGGCCTGTGTAGGTCTGGCTTCTTGTTTTTTTGTGGAATTTATAATGTCCCCAGTCTTTAAGAGCTGTCAGAAATATATTCTTAAGTTGTTCATCATTAGGGTAAAGGTGCTTTCTTGTTCCATGATTGGGGATCCCTGTCAGTAAATGTTTACTCGTGGAAGCTCAGACACAGAAACGTGTAGTGACACCATCCTCAATATAGGTGTACTCGCTGCCCTGCAGCGTGGGCGCCACCCCCACTGCGGTGTTCCTTTCCCACCTGGCAGTCTGGACAGGAGGGTCTTAGTGTGCTTTCTGAGGAGGTAGGGTGGCCAGGAAAAGTGATGCTGTTTTTGGTATAATGGGCTGAGGATCCCTAAGACTGTTTGAGTTATAAACGAGGGGAAACGGTACATAACTGAACACACCTCCAACTACTGTTGGGAGTAGTCTTGGCTTAGGATAGCTTTAGCAGTGGGTCTGGATTTTGTGTTCATTTACTTTCAATTGAATACATACTGTGGCCATTCTTCACAGGGCGTTTAATGGGTGTGTTTTTTCTGCTTAAATTGGAGGCAGTTGTTCAGAGAACCCCATTTTGTTTCATGGAGCATGATTTATTTATTCAATTGGTTTTATAGTTTTATTATGATTCTATTTATTCTCTGGTTTACTGAGTGCCTATTATACCTAAAGCATTCTGCCTACACCATGATTGGGATGAACAGGACATATAGTCTCTTTTCCCTGGAAAGGTAGGGAGAAAGGCAAGGGCGTAGGGTGGGAAAAGGCAAGTCATACCATTGACGTTCAAGCCGGGGGCCAGGTGAGCAGTTGTTCTCAGTCTGGGGGCCTAGATACATTGACCTAAGACAGTGATAGCGAACCTTTTGAGCTCGGCGTGTAAGCATTTTGAAAAACCCTAACTTAACTCTGGTGCCGTGTCTAGAAATTTTTTGATATTTGCAACCATAGTAAAACAAAGATTTATATTTTTGATATTTATTTTATATATTTAAATGCCATTTAACAAAGAAAAATCAACCAAAAAAATGAGTTTGCGTGTCACCTCTGACACGCGTGTCATAGGTTCGCCATCACTGACCTAAGAGGTGGCATCTGAGCTGCGCCTGGAGGTAGGATTTCAGGGACTAAAGGGAAGAAGCTACTGTCAACGCTAGGTGGAGGGAAGAGTGTAGGCAAAGGCCTGCATATATGGGATGTCTGGCGGGCTGGGCATGGGGTGCTGGAGACAAGGCTGAGAGCAGCTCCTTGGAGGACCTTGAGCACTGTGCCCCGGAGACAGGTCTTCACGACGAAAGGCTGTCAAAGGTTTCTGAGGAGGGGATGGAGGTCAGATCTGAGGTTCTGAAAGGCAGCTGTCGATGCATGTGTGCAGGACGGACAGCAGAGGTCAGACAGAGCGCCAACTGGCAGGTGGGCCCAGTGTGGGAATGAGGGACGGTCCGGGGAGGGCTGGGAACAGTGGCATCAGAAGTGAAAAGGAGAAGATACATTTGAGGGAACTTTCAAGGGTTTTGGTAACTGTTTTTCTCTGGGGGAAAGGAAGCTTGAAGAATTAAAATGGACAGATTTCTAGGTTGGGTGACCAGAAAAACAACATGCCAATAATTAAGCTCTGCACATAGGAGAGGGACCATGTTTGCGGGCTGGGTGGGGGACATATAATAGTGGGTTTACTGATGTGTAATTTTATGGATTTTATAAGATACACTCAGGGATATATTCTCTAAGCAGTAGGAATTCTGGTCCGGCAGACAGGAGTGAGAGATTTGGATCTGGGACACAAACCTTCTAAGAACTCTTTGAGGCCTTGGGAGGGAGGCTTTGGCCTTTTCCTGTCGCTCCTTTACTTAAATGAGAGGCATCTGTCCTCAGGTTTTCTCACTGAGGACAGAGGACCATGGCTGACTTATGCCTCTCATTTATGAAGTGAATAGAAGGGGCGTTAAAAAGATTAGGGTTTCAGAAGAAAGTTTCAGCAAGGACAGGCTAAATCAAAATCAGCAATGCTGCCCTGGCTGGTATGGCTCACCTGCTTAACTTGCCCAAACTACCAACAGCGTCAAGGCTGAGGAACCCCGTAGTAGAGGAATCGCATATTTCAGAGGGGAACTGCCTTTCCAATCTGTTGTTGCGTCACATGCTTGTATGCCAGGTTTCCACTAAGAATTTTCCTCTCTTCTTTGGTGAGAGGTGATGTCCCTTCAGGTGTATTTTCTTTGATCTTCTGTGTCACCTAAGCTGGTTTTGATTGGCTCTTTGAGCCTAGCAACCTTGATCCCACTTTTATTACCTTGGTGTCCTCAGACTCTAGCAGAGCATGGAGGTCATTTGGTTTCTTGGTGGAGATGTAAGGAAGAATGCACTTCCAGGACACGTTCCCTGGACCCTGTCTTTGGAAGAAGACAATAGCTTGAGGGGGAGAGCGGGGCTATTTAACAGACCGTGGGCAAACTACGGCCCATTTGAAATGAATAAAACTAAAAAAAAAAAAAAAAAGACCGTACCCTTTTATGTAATGATGTTTACTTTGAATTTACATTAGTTCACACAAACACTCCATCCATGCTTTTGTTCCGGCCCTCCGGTCCAGTTTAAGAACCCATTGTGGCCCTCGAGTCAAAAAGTTTGCCCACCCCTGGTAGTTAAACCAAGACGTAATCTCTCTTTCTTCACCCTAACTTGAAGTTGAGCAGTTATTTGTAGTAATTGAGAAACGTACATTATTTTACCTTCTTCATTTGTAGGAAATACAGTTGGAGCATGCAAAGCAAGCCTTTGTGCAGAGGGACAATGCCAGGACCGGAAAAGTCACAGCCATTGACTTCCGAGACATCATGGTCACCATCCGCCCCCATGTCTTGACACCTTTCGTAGAAGAATGTCTAGTAGCTGTAAGTGTAACTTGCCCTAATGAAGTAATTTCTTCTACCTGGCATGAGCTCAGGAAATAAGGGATTATAAGAACAACTCTTACATATTATTTAGAGGTTTTTCTATTTAAAACAAACATTTTCTTAATGTGATCGCATACATTATTAAAGTTAAAGACAGTATGGTTTGGCTAGTTTTAGTGGGTAAGTTAATTTGTTATTTGGACAAGAATATCTTGAAGAAAACGTATTAACTGGCTTTTTAAAAAAGGAAAAACAAATTTATGATTGCATATTAATTTTTTTTATATTTTGAGGTGTGTCAAATACTAATCTTTGCTTTTATCTATTCTCCAAGGCAAAAACATTTTTTTAGTTGTATGCATAGATATATTTGAGAAGTCAGCAGAACACAAACTCTGAATCTTATACCTACTTGGTCGGTCATTCAAAAGTGGCTCCTGATGGGCAGAGCCTTGCTGGCCTGTGTCGTAGTTTCCTCCTAGTGGAGATCCAGCCACTCTTCTTAACACCTGGCCCCGGAGGTGTCCTGGAACATTCTGTGGTGGCAGCTTCCAAGCCTCGGTCATGGAGCATAAGAATCACCACGGATAATTATAAAAAATACCAATGCTAAGGCTCTTTCCATGTCTAATTCACCATGTACAGGTGGTGAGACCCTAGAATCTAATTCTGAAGCTTCCTAGATAATTCTGATGGTCCCTCCGATTTGTGAACACTTAGGCAATGCTAACTATCGCTCTGTTCATCCCAGGGAGAAGGTTTTTTGGGTGTTTTCACCATCCTGTGGGCTTCTCACAATGTTTCCCACAGTCAGGAGCTTAAGCTAGCTTTTCATTTTTCCTTTTCTTTTCCTGGTGCCTCTTTTTGGAAATGTGGCATTCTGACAGGGTCCTTTCCACTCTGGCACTGTGTTAATCTAGCTCCTTTTCTTGCCCCACCTGTCCCCTCCCCCCCACACACACCCCTTTCCTACTCCATTTTAAACTCCCATGTCAGCTATTCAAAATGATTACTCAGTGAAGATTTATGTGGTTGTTACCTTATAAAGAAGTGCTTTCCTAATAGAAATATTTTGCCTTGTTAGGGAAAGCTAGAATTTGAAACCCCCAAACTGAAGTTCCATTCATAATGGGACATGCTGTCTGTTTCCCTTGTCCCCAGTGAAGAAATATGGTTTCTTACAAATTTTGACTATCAGAATTCTGACCAGTCTTAACCCACCATCAAAGCATATGACATCTCATAATTTTACCATAATACGTCTGTTTGCTAGAAATCCCACCACTGTAAAGTCTATACATAAATGATTATTTATTGCTAGTTATAAGTAACATGACAAATCATGATATTAATGTTAGATTGACCACTGTTCATATCATGTTTGTATTAGTATAATATAGTTTTGCATGCATAAGCACACACATGTGTGTAATATAGTTTTGCATGTCTAAGCCTTTAAGAATTGCTCATTAGATGAAATAAACAAACTTATAAAACATTTCCAATGGAAACTTGAACTCTGTAAATTACTACTGGTCCTGTTGTTATAACCCTACACATGTATTTATTTAGTTTTCTAGGACTGTGTGTGGAGAGTACAAGTTCTGGTCATGATTAGTTGCAGTTACTTCTAAAAATCATTTATAGCTTTTTTTTAATGTAAAAGAAAAATACGGCTCTTTCTTCTTATACATACATTTCTGATCACTTCCAAAACTGGCGTTTGCTATTTGTACTTGTGAATCTTCTTCATTCTATAAATACTTTATTTGTCTTTATTCTTCTCTCTGTTATTTTCAACTTATTTGAGGCTGCTGGAGGTACCACGTCCCATCAGGTCAGTTTCTCCTATTTTAATGGATTTAATTCACTCCTTAACAACATGGAACTCATTAGAAAGATCTACAGCACTCTGGCCGGCAGCAGGAAAGACGTGGAGGTGACTAAGGGTGAGTGAGAATAAAGCTGAATTCTTACCTGCAAGTATCTTGGTGTATCATTATTATTAGAGTGAAGAAGGCAATAATAAGTTCTGTAGATTTTTAAATTTCATTATCTTTTATTTCATTTCATTTCATATTAGCCCTATGGTATATGTGTGTTCTCTGTCCTTTGATTAGACAGAAGCAAACAAAATAATCTTTGGAAAGTTGTTTTTCTGTTTTTAAATATATTTTTATTGATTTCTGAGAGGAAGGAAATAGGGAGAGATAGAAAGATATGAGAGAGAATCCTTATGGGCTGCCTCCTGCACACCCCCTACTGGAGATCAAGCCCACAACCCAGGCTTCTGCCCTGACCAAGAATCATACAGTGACCTCCTGGTTCATAGGTCTACTTTCACCCACTGAGCCACACTGGCCAGGCTTCAGCAAGTTTTAAAAAAGCCAAAGACAGTCTTTGAGTGAGGGACGTGTGTAAAGTTTCTTAAATGTTTTCAAATCTTGCTAGAACCTGAGCTAAACTGGCAGCCTCTAACATGGTCTTCAGAAGTACATGAGGAGGAATTCCATAAACTTACACTGGTAGCAGTGCAAATTGATCTACAGTCTTACAACAAGATACCAGCATTTTCATGGGATTTTTGGGTTTTTTTTTAAACAGAATTTGCTAAGGAATTCCACAGCCTCATTGATATAACCTCTTGGGACCTATGCATATGACGTTTCATAGTTGCTTCCTAGTTTTCCCTGACCTGCAATTTGGAAAACATCCTTGTCATTTATTCAGTCATCTGATCACACCAGACTTTAAAGTCAGTATTAGAGACACTCCTGGGCACACGCTTCCCAAACGAATGGGAGCACTGTAGAAGTGCTTACCCTATGTGGATTGACTTGAATTCTGCGACTAATGATAATAAAGTTTTGTGATGTTCCCTCATTCCAGTGCCTTGAGTGAGTGCTGCATGTAGTGGCTACTCCTTGAATCTTTCCCCTTTTAACTCTTTTTCCACACAGAGGAGTTTGTTCTGGCAGCTCAGAAATTTGGTCAGGTTACACCCATGGAAGTTGACATCTTGTTTCAGTTAGCAGATTTATATGAGCCACGGGGGTAAGTAGACCTTTTTTTTTTTTTTTAATTAGCTTAATAAAATGAGGTTGGGTGGGGGTAGGAGGAGGGCAGCACACTGGGAGAAAAATAAGCCAAATTAAAGATGACTCTGAAATATGGGAAACGAAAAAGGGAATGTTTTCAAGTTCTGCAATGTACATCATTTTAATCAACTTGTATTTTGTCGTTGCTTGTTCTTGTTTATTTCGCTCCTTCCAGACGGATGACCTTAGCAGACATTGAGCGAATCGCTCCCCTGGAAGAGGGAACTCTGCCCTTCAACTTGGCCGAGGCCCAGAGGCAGGTGGGCAAAAAAAGCAAACGTGCTTCCTGGTATTTCTGTGGTAGAGGACCCAACACCCCTTTTCCCGTGCAGTTGCGTTTCTGATGCTGGTGTCTGACCTACCATTCCTCCATGTTTTACCCCAAATCCAGATAATTTCTAGAGGCTGGAAAGAAAAATGATGTGGGATGTTCTGATTAGCAGAGAGTTGGCATCTTTGCTTGCTTTTTTCCCCCAAAGGTGGGGTGATTTCCTAACTGCATGGGAAACCTAACCCTCCAAAAACAGGCAGAGATCCTGTCCTCTCCCCTGAGTCTCGGTTGTGAGATATGAGGCAGGAGTCCTGTTCTGGGGTCGCCGTCCCAGCAAAGCAGCCTGTCGCCAAGTGAGGGCCGCCTTTGCTGTGCCGAGAGGTTCTTGGTCAGCGCGTTGCCGACGGCCATGCCTTCCGTTCTTCCGAGTATCAGAAGGAGATAATTTTGTTTAGTCTGGAGTCATAGTTTGAAGGCTTTTAGACCCCTTTTTTCTATGAAAGGATTCATAAGTTATGTGGAAACAATTTGAGGAATGCTTCATTTTATTTTATGGTTAACAGAAACCAATCTCTTGCAGTGGTGGGAGTCAGAAACTCAAGACCCGGGGACCTCCTCATTTAACTCTTGCTCGCCTCTCTGTAGATCAGGATTAGAGAATCAAAGCCTTCATGGGGTGGTTGCCCTTCCGTGATGTTTGTAAAATAAATCCGTTCACAGGCGAGCGGCGTTTTAGAAAAAGAGATCCTTTAAGGCAAAGCCATCTCTGAATCCTGTGAGACTTAACAGTTTTTGGCTGGGAGCTCTGGGTCTGTGCAGAGACGCCAGTTTGACCACAATGGGTTGATGCGGGCTACATTTTTAGGACTGGCAGGCCTCGCGCCAGGACCCCCTCCTTTCAGATCCTTCCCTCCCCAGTGCAGTGGTGAGTCTTGTGTGCATCCTATAACTCAGAGTGGTGGGTGTGTGCTCAGTAAATCCTAACGGGGTACCTCTGGGAAACCAGCTGGCCGTGGTTAAAAGAGGAAGCCGATTTCCCCGAGTGCAGGACAGAGAACTGTATAATCTGTGCAGAGGCAGAAGCAGCCTTGCCCTCTTATCCCTCTGATTTTTAAACACTGCTGACCAGTGTCTCTCTGCTACTAGTTGTTGTAGAAACTTGGGGATTAAGAAGAAGTAAAGACTTTTTATTTATTTATTTATTTATTTATTTATTTATTTATCTATCTATCTATCTATCTATCTACCTATTTACTTTCCCGTCTCTACGGCCTGAAGACCTTCAGAGAACACGCCGTGAGCCACACGAGGTCCAGCAGGCCCCTCCACCCACATCCACGCTGGGAGACCGGCCTTAGCCACCGGAAGCTTCCTGGGGTGTCACTGGGCAGCTCTGACAGGCTCAGTGGGATTGATGGCACCTCCTGGCTTTTGCCTCCGTTGAGCTGAAATACGACCAAAGTTAATTTTCTCAAGCACCCCTCTGCGCTGGCGTCATTTCCCCGGGAAAGGCTTCGGCGGCCGGTGGCTTTGAACATCTATTGTACGAGTGGTCTCTGCTGACTGCGGCTCACGAGTGTCACAATGCCCAATGACTAAAAGCCTGGTCCGTCCTCCCCTATGGGCATCCAACCACCATCCTGATAAAATCTCCATTTTTTTCTGAGAAACTAACTTAACTGTCACAGGGCATAGACCCGACGGTACCAAGTTTGGATTTAGCACCGGCTCCTAGGGCTGCCCCAGCAAAGTGTCCAAAACTGGGTGGTTTTCCACCAAACCGGTTTGGCTCAGTAGATAGAGCATCAGCCTGTGGACTGAAAGGTCCCAGGTTCAATTCCGGTCAAGGGCATGTACCTTGGTTGCAGGC